TATATATATATATATATATATATATATATATATATATACAGGTATATCACATTATATTTGAAATAAAATTATAAAAGGTCCTTATATACCTTTTGATCAATGTAATGCATTCTTGCTGAAAAAAATTATAATAAAACTGACCCCAGACTTTTGAACAATACTATTATTGTTGCTCATCCATAAACTCTGCCCTTCTTTCCATTAACACTCACAAATGCTGTGTAAATACTTTTGCTTGGTTTTATGACTGCACTATAATTTAAATGTATAAAAAAATGGAAAAAAAACAAACAGACTGGAGCAAATGTGGCCCCTGTTTATTGTTTGTAAAGAATAAAATTTGTCTCCCACCAGCTGATGTTCACACTGAGTACAAGCAAATATCTCATATGGCAGTGTCAGACTGTATTTCAAATAAGATGTTTTTTATTGGGTTTTGCAAATGTGCTGACAACATAGAGTCTACAGAAAACAACAGGCCAATCAGAAGAGAGGCTCATGAATATTAATTAGACAGGCCAAATCGACCTGTTCTCAGCAGATCTCCTGAGAGAGGGGCTGTAAAAATATATTGAAATGGTTTTTGGTACTTATACCGCAAATATATATTCTTAAGGACATCAAAACCTAAAATAAAACTCCAGAAAGGTGTACAATATGGGACCTTTAAAGGGAAAGTTTGCCCAAAAATGAAAGAGGCATGAACAGTTTTTGTCCATTTAGTGAAATTCAATGGGGTCCGGTTTGTTCAGTCCAGTTGAGTCGCATGTTCTGCAGAACATTTCTGTCAACATCCACCCTTGTGCTACTCATGAAACTCATAAGATTTTTTTCATGGAATATAAAGAGTTATAAGAATGTCAATGCTGCTATTCTGCCTACAATCAAAATGCGGTTGCAGTTTTGTTTGGCATAAAATAAGTACATAATCATGTTTTGAAATCCATTTGCTTGTTAAAATTGCACCATTAGACTAATATATCTTACTTGGATTTTTATTTACGTCCATTTCATTCAAAAAGTTGGACATGATATTCAACTTTTAATAGAAGTTTCAAAAGGTGGCAAAGATTTGTTACTTGTTCAAAAGTTTGGGCTCAAAAAATGTTTATTGTTTGTTTGTTTTTGAAAGAAGTCTCTAAGTCTTATGTTAATCAAAGCTGTAATTATTTGATCAAATATGCAGTAAAACTGTATTGTGAAATATTATTACAATAAAAAAAAAAAACAGTTTTAATATATTTGCTCCTTGGGAGAGTGAAGGGGCAGAAAGCCACTGTGTTTATGATTAGCGGCAGCTCTCCGACTGATTGAATAATTACCGGGCTATTGAGGCCACAAGGAAAGAAAGAAATACAAAATAGAGGACAAGAGGCAACCCCTTCTTACCAAGTCAGTCTGCACTGTGAATCCAAACCGACAAGCAAGACAATATGAGTCTGTGGGAAACCTGCGCTGTACTTTTCCTTGTGGTAAGTGCATGATTTTATGACTTTATTTGGGGTTAATCAATATTCTCACGATGCAGGGGATTTATTTGATCACTTTGACAGGTTTAAAAAGTTGATGGTGTTTTGTTGTTAAAGATACAGTGTTTTACAGTGATGGTGGAACCAGCTTCACTGCCAAAAATCTGTCAGGGAATGGACTGGATCAGACAGTGTCACCCATGGCTTTTGTGTTTATGTCAGAAACACTTGTGGTCAGAATAAGGCAGTGAACGACAGACCTGTGAATTCACTAAAATCTAAAATGAGGGATGTAGGAGATTTAGAATTATATATGTTTTTGCACATGGGACATTTACTATGGTAATACTCCACAGCTCCTTTAATCTACAACAAATTCTGTGTTTGTTTGTGCACATTTAGCGAATAAACCTCATTCTCGACATATTAAAAGCACGTAATCAGTAACTGGCTGAGAATCTCATTCTGATTCTCTAATACTATGCAATTCATTGAGGTAGCTTGGAGTACCATGTAAATAGCATGGTATATATTAAACCTCAAGTACATGGTACGTGTTTAAAGTAATGTATTTATTTACTTATATTTTATTTTCCCAGCATGTAACTTGTTTTAAATAATGAAATAATTCATTTTTATTTTATTTTATTTTTATTTCCCAGCATGAATGTGGTACATATTAACACGTTCAAAACAATTAAATAATTATGTTGCTATGTTATGTTTTGTAATATCCTATCAATAATTATAAATAATTATTTCGTTTTAATTTATTTTTTTATATCCAAGCATATACATAGTACACATTAACACTTGTTAAAATAATGATTCATTTGCTTTTTTAATTTAATTGCATTTCATGTAGTTTCATTTTTATTTATTTTATATTTTATTTTATGTTTTATTTCATTTTAACATGGTTGTTTAAAGCAATTAAATAATTTAGTTAAGTTTAGTTTTCCCAGCATGCACGTGATACAAATTAGCACTTGTTTAAACCAATTAAATAATTATTTTATTTTATTTAATATCCCAGGATGTATATTAGCACTTGTTTAAAGCAATTAAATAATTATTTAAAGTTTTTTTTATTTTTATTTTTTTTATTTGCTAACATGCCAACTCTATTACTAACTGCTGTGGATCAAATTTAGCAATATTACAGGTCAAAACTATTCTACTTGATTTCAGATTAAGGTGATTCAGGAAGTAAGACTGGTAAACATTCTTTAGAGTTAGCATATGTTATCTTGGATAAAAACACCAATGCCTAATAAGAATGAAACTGAAATGCTTTCAGATTCTGACTGCTGAAGGTTGGCATGACCTGGACAACACTGAATATGACTGCTGGCCCATAAAAGAACCAAATGATTACAACATGATTAACTGTGGCGGTAAGAGCTGCTTTTTTAACATTCAATAGCTTTCATTGTTGTTGCCAATTCCTTAAAGGGACACTTCACCCTAAAATTAAATAATTTCTATCATTCTCATGTCAATCTAAACCAGTATGATTTGTGTGCTACTGTACATTTAAAAAATGGTTCAATTCATGAACAAACCGTTCTTTTGATTCTTTTCAGTGAATCTTTGATTCAGTTCACAAAACTGACCTAAATGATTCGTTCTTGAATCTGATGGAGAATAAATAATGGCAACATTTTTTGGTGAACTCTCCCTTTAAGAACTGGAGACGAGGCCTTAAATGCACAAACCATCAATTTAAAGGAAGTTTCCTAATCAGCAGGCCAACAAAATAAGTGTTGCTTATTTAACAGTTGATTCAAACCGAGTGTGTACCGTCACGGGGACATTTCCTTTAAGAAGATAAACATTTGCTTTGGTAGATCACTTGGAGATTTCTCTTTTAAGCTTCCTTAAATGCTTCACACCCACTTGTATGTTTTCACAGGCTTAGAAATGGCTTGGGTTCAACGTCCACCAGAAAAGGTCACAGATGGGGAGGAGTTCAATGTTACCTATTCTGTCACTGCCTCTGACTCCTTTTATGAATACGCCGTTAAAAACAAGATTTTCCAGCTCAGGTGAGCACCACGCACAATGCCGGCCTTCTCAAATGTGCTTTATTATGTGTAGAAAACACTTTTTACTTCATTGAATGTTCAACATAGCACATGAGCTTTTCTTGAATGTGATATCATGTTCACAATGAATGAAATGTTGGCTTCACATACCATCGGTTATAATATACGCTTCACTTTCTCTCACAGTAATGCCTCAGAGGCCAAAAGATTCTGCCTCGAGCACGAATGTCCCGCAAACTGGAACAACGCCAATGAAGACAACTGCTGCGTTCACCACGCCAACATTCACTCCTGTCCTCTTGCGCTCATGGTCAGTGCTGTTATGGTCGGTGTGAAGCCTACAGAAAGTGCTCTTGGATTTAGTCACATTGCTGTTGAAATCTTTGAAATAAAAACTAGGCTAAATGTGGTACAATTTGGCACGACATCAGAGACTGCATGCGATATGACAGTGTAGACCATTATCACTGTAAATGACCTGTGGTGGTTGCATGAGCATGTGTGCGAGTTTGGGTGTTTCTAAACTACTTATGCTTTGGGGACAAATTTGCTGAAATGACATCAGCTAAATATTAATCATCTTATCAAAACATGGTTACAAAAAAATTATAAAAACTCCCTTTTAGGAATAGGATTAGATTTAGCTTGTAATAATTACAATTAGATTTAAATGAAATGAAATAATATGAATTTAATTAAATCCATTATTACTAAAAATATATTAAAATTAAATCAAGTAATATATTGAATGTAATACATTCATTATTATTTCAATAAAAATGTAATAAAACATTTATTAAAAAAAAAAAATTGTATTAAATCCATTATTACTTGAAGAAACATTTAAAATAATATAATACATTTAAATTAAATAATATAATTGAAAATATTTTAATTATTACTTAAATAAAAATGTAATAAAAAAATAATGAAATATCCAAATAAAAAAGAGGTCTCTTGTGCTCACCAAGGTATTAGATAAATTACAGTAAAGGCAGTAAAATGATAAAATATTATTACAATTTAAAATATAAAATATATTTTATGGCTTGGGTTCAACGTCCACCAGAAAAGGTCACAGATGGGGAGGAGTTCAATGTTACCTATTCTGTCACTGCCTCTGACTCCTTTTATGAATACGCCGTTAAAAACAAGATTTTCCAGCTCAGGTGAGCACCACGCACAATGCCGGCCTTCTCAAATGTGCTTTATTATGTGTAGAAAACACTTTTTACTTCATTGAATGTTCAACATAGCACATGAGCTTTTCTTGAATGTGATATCATGTTCACAATGAATGAAATGTTGGCTTCACATACCATCGGTTATAATATACGCTTCACTTTCTCTCACAGTAATGCCTCAGAGGCCAAAAGATTCTGCCTCGAGCACGAATGTCCCGCAAACTGGAACAACGCCAATGAAGACAACTGCTGCGTTCACCACGCCAACATTCACTCCTGTCCTCTTGCGCTCATGGTCAGTGCTGTTATGGTCGGTGTGAAGCCTACAGAAAGTGCTCTTGGATTTAGTCACATTGCTGTTGAAATCTTTGAAATAAAAACTAGGCTAAATGTGGTACAATTTGGCACGACATCAGAGACTGCATGCGATATGACAGTGTAGACCATTATCACTGTAAATGACCTGTGGTGGTTGCATGAGCATGTGTGCGAGTTTGGGTGTTTCTAAACTACTTATGCTTTGGGGACAAATTTGCTGAAATGACATCAGCTAAATATTAATCATCTTATCAAAACATGGTTACAAAAAAATTATAAAAACTCCCTTTTAGGAATAGGATTAGATTTAGCTTGTAATAATTACAATTAGATTTAAATGAAATGAAATAATATGAATTTAATTAAATCCATTATTACTAAAAATATATTAAAATTAAATCAAGTAATATATTGAATGTAATACATTCATTATTATTTCAATAAAAATGTAATAAAACATTTATTAAAAAAAAAAAATTGTATTAAATCCATTATTACTTGAAGAAACATTTAAAATAATATAATACATTTAAATTAAATAATATAATTGAAAATATTTTAATTATTACTTAAATAAAAATGTAATAAAAAAATAATGAAATATCCAAATAAAAAAGAGGTCTCTTGTGCTCACCAAGGTATTAGATAAATTACAGTAAAGGCAGTAAAATGATAAAATATTATTACAATTTAAAATATAAAATATATTTTAAAATGTAATTTATTCTTGTGATGCAAAGCTGAATTTTCAGCATCATTACTCCAGTCTTCAGTCACATGATCCTTCAGAAATCATGCTAATATTCTGATTTGACGCTCAAGAAACATTTCTTATTATTGTCAATGTTGAAAACAGTTGAGCTGCTTAATATTTTTGTGGAAACCGTGACTTTTGTTTTTCAGGATTTTTCAATGATTAGAACAACAACATTTATTTAAAATATATATTTTTGTTACATTATAAAAATATTGACTTATTTAAATGTTTAATATTGCCACTTTTAAATGTTTAATATTGCCACAGCTATTTAATGAATCCTTGCTGAATAAAAGTATTAATTTCTTAAGTCCTTTTATTTAGCTACATAAGAGTATGTGTGTTTATGTGTGTGTGTGTGTGTGTGTGTGTGTGTGAGAGAGAGAAAGAGAGAGAGAAAGAGAGAGAGACAGAGAGAAAGTGAGGAAAGGGGCGGAAGCTCATCACTGGGAAGTGGGCCAGCCTTGATGAGCACTAATTCAGGTTCTACTTAAACCGGTGCTATTAATTGTACAGTTTGGTAAGCTGTTATTATAATTTGAGTATAATGTTTGACAGTCAATATTAGCCTTGATTGCTCCACAACCCATTAAACGTTTAACAGTCAGACGATTGTATTTTGTCTGTTCAGAGAGGTGGAGGGATTTGTGGTCCCTGGATTCCAGATGATGGTGAAATTGTGACTCACACGGTATCCAAAGCTGGCAAGATGAGCCAACTGCTGTGGACATCAAAGGTTACAAGCTATTTATTTATTTATTTTAGTATTACATTTTTTTACATTTGATTTATTTTATTAATTATATTATCTTTTTTATTTTATTTTATTTTTACATTTTATTTATATTTTATTTTATTAATTATATTTTATATATTTGTTTATTTAATTATTTTTACCCAGGTGGTGCTGGTCCATTTAGGAGTTACATCGGTCATTGCTCATGTCAAAGTGGGACAGATGCATGCAGCACTAGAGTCCAAGGTGTTAGTAGTCAGCGCTCAGGGTAAGTATAACTTGTTAAACGCTTTAGGGATTTACGGGAAAGATGTCCTCAAACAATTGGTACATCAAGGATATAGATGTTACGCAAAATACACCTTTTTAAAACAAAGTGTTTGAGTAAGCAAGGTTAATGGTTGACATATTCTAATACTGGTCCAGGAAATCATTAGTGTCATATGAGAACAAAACTAAGCTTTGTCTAGGGATGTTTGTCTAGGTTATGTTGGACTTTCATCTGTGCATGTGCGTCAGTGTGTGGCGATGACACCTGTGAGCTGGAGGAGAGCTGTCTGACGTGTCCCGCTGACTGTGGAGCTTGTCCTATGCCCACATCCATCAAAGTGGCCATTGGGCTTCCTGTGGCCTTGTTCTGCAGTGGTTTTATCTTGACGCTGCTGGTGAGAATGCCGGTTCAACACTTGACAAATATTTGCTCAGTTAAGAGACCCAGATAAAACGTGCAGATGATATAATGGGACAAGAAACTTTTGATTTGAACCAAATAAGCAATCAACTAACATCTCAGCAACCACAATAGCATCATGCATAGCAATGCCCTAGCAGCCACCAATGAAACCCTAGTATGTGCAAGTTTTTTTCACAGGGAAGTAATGTCCAAATGGACATGGTCTGAGGAGAAGCTGAGGGGAAATTAGTAAATTATTTTGCATTGACTAGCAAAACTGTTGTTTCCCCGAAAATCTCTGCATTTGTTTGCAAAATCTTTGCACTCTGCCTGAGAAACTTTTCTTTCACTCGCAAAACTTTTGCGTTCTTCAAGAAACTTTGTGTTTGCTTGCAAAACTTTTGTGCTCCCCCAGAAATGTTGTTTTTGCTTGCGAAACCTTTGCATTTCCTCAAAAAACTTTGCATTGAATTGCAAAACTTTTGCGTTTCCCTGAGAAACTTTGCCTTTACTTGGAAAACTTTAAGTTCCCAAGAGAAACTTTTAATTTGCTCTTAAGACTTTGTTTACTTTGACTAGTTTTGCATTTCCTTGAGAAACTTTGCTTTTACTTCAGAAACTTTTAAGTTCACTAGAGAAAATTTTCGTTCACTCTCAATACTTTTGCGTTTCTCCTTTGCATTTACTTTTAAAAGTTTTGCATTCTCTCACAAAAAGTAGTTTGTTCCCCCAGGAAACTTTGCATTCGCTTGGAAAACTTTTGCGCTACTTTTGCTACTTTAGTAGTTTTGTCCCCCCCCCCCCCCCAGTGGCTGCAATACCAAAAACAGAAAATGTTTTGGGATGAGAGCTGGATCATCAACTATAATAATATCATGTTTGGTAAGAGGTTTTAGTCTCATCCACTGCCTCTTTAAATAACAACATCATTAACAACATCATTGTTTGTATTATTTCTATATGACGTTTCCTAGTCAGTTATATTTTGTCTCACTGAACATCCTGTTTTGTGCCAAAAATGTGTCACGTTTTACCAAAATGAAATTGGTCTTCTTGCTTTTTAAATATTTTAGCACTTTAACTATACTGAAACCTTTTTTGGGCCTAACAGGTAAAGTGTGCTACACAGGTTTTTGTAGCACCACAAGTCTTCAGACTGTAAAGAGGAACTCCAGTGTGAGTAGAGTCACAGATGTGACGGTCAGCACTGCAGTCAACACCAACTTCAAACCACGCTTCATTCAGGCCGGCATCTAGTGAGTGTTTCCAGAGATACTGCCTCTTGGGTGTCTCTACTAATGCATTTTCTCAAACTTTTGTTTTATGTTTTGTTTTGTCTTTTTTTTTGTTTGTCTTGCTTGTTTTTTGTCTTGTCTTGTCTTTGTTTTGTTTTTTTGTCTTTTTTGATTATCTTTCCTTGTCTTGTTTTTGTCTTTGTTTTATCTTTTTTGTTTGTCATTTCTTTTCTTGTCCTGTTTTTGTCTTTGTTTTCATATCTTGTCTTTGTTTTGTCCTTTTTTGTCTCGTCTTGTTTTATTTGTCTTGTCTTTGTTTTATTTGATCTTTTTTTTCTTGTCTTTTCTTGTCTTGTTTTTGTCTTTGTTTTATCTTTTTTGTTTGTCATTTATTTTCTTGTCCTGTTTTTGTCTTTGTTTTCATGTCTTGTCTTTGTTTTGTCGTTTTTGTCTCCTCTTGTTTTATTTGTCTTGTCTTTGTTTTGTTTTATCTTTTTTGTTTGTCTTTGCTTTTCTTGTCCTGTTTTTGTCTTTGTTTCATGTCTTGTCTTTGTTCTGTCCTTTTTTGTCTCGTCTTGTTTTATTTGTCTTGTCTTTGTTTTGTTTTATCTTTTTTGTTTGTCTTTTCTTGTCTTGTCTTTGTTTTATCTTTTTTGTTTGTCATTTCTTTTCTTGTCCTGTTTTTGTCTTTGTTTTCATATCTTGTCTTTGTTTTGTCCTTTTTTGTCTCGTCTTGTTTTATTTGTCTTGTCTTTGTTTTGTTTTATCTTTTTTGTTTGTCTTTCCTTGTCTTGTTTTTGTCTTTGTTTTATCTTTTTTGTTTGTCATTTCTTTTCTTTTCTTGTCCTGTTTTTGCCTTTGTTTTCATGTCTTGTCTTTGTTTTGTCCTTTTTTGTCTCGTCTTGTTTTATTTGTCTTGTCTTTGTTTTATTTGATCTTTTTTTTCTTGTCTTTTCTTGTCTTGTTTTTGTCTTTGTTTTATCTTTTTTGTTTGTCATTTATTTTCTTGTCCTGTTTTTGTCTTTGTTTTCATGTCTTGTCTTTGTTTTGTTTTGTCCTTTTTTGTCTCGTCTTGTTTTATTTGTCTTGTCTTTGTTTTGTTTTATCTTTTTTGTTTGTCTTTTCTTGTCTTGTTTTTGTCTCGTCTTTGTTTTTTGTCGTTTTTTATTTTTGTTTGTTTGTCTTGTTTAGTTTCTTGAATTGTCTTGATTTGTTGTATTGTGTTGTCTTATATCTTAACTTAAGTTTTGTTTTGTTTTTACAGTGATGGAAGGACTGTAGCTGTAAAACACATCCAGAAGAAACACTTTACCCTCACCAAAACAATCAGAAAAGAAGTCAAAGAGGTTAGGTGAGTAACTGTACCCACAATTCTTGCAAATGAAACTACACTGAAATCAGATGTACTTTTACTGGGACAAGTGACTTGTCCAGGATTTTGTGACTTAAGTATGTAATTCAAGGAAAATATTTGGCGAAGGAATTAAGTCTGTGACTGTTTCTTTTTACCAGGGAGCTTGATCACCCAAACCTCTCCAAGTTCATTGGAGGCTGTATTGAAGTTCCTTTTGTGAGCATTATCACTGAATACTGTCCAAAGGGAAGCCTGGCAGACGTGCTGTTGAACAAGGACATCCCCATCAATTGGGGTTTTCGGTAAATCTGTCCTGTGGCATTGTTGGCAAGCTCTTTAAAAACTTAAAGGCACAATATGTAAGATTTTTTTTATTAAAATATCCAAAAACCACTACAACAGTGTTATATATTTTGCTGACTTGTGTACTTACATTATCCCAAATGTTTCGAAGAATGTTTAAATCCAGAGAAATAGGCAATTTTAACTAGTGACACGGACCGCGTCCATAAGTGTCATTGTGTCGCCTGCTAATGACGTCATAACCCCTCGATTTCCGTTTTGTAGAAAACATGGAAACACCAAAGATGCTTTAATATGCTATACGTTTTATTAGACAGGTGACGACCGCACAGAGTAGCATTATAACAGAACTTTCAAATGTATCTAGTATGATAAAACAGCGCTGCTTTACCCCACATACGCACGACCGGAAGGAGCGGAAGCAGTCGACTGTGGCATAATAAAAGCTCCGCTGCTTTTGAGCCGTTTGTCGCGCTCGTTCAGCGGCCTCGTTTCGCTTCGACGGCTTTCAGCCTCACCCTGCTTCATTCTACTACGTTAATAAATCATTAGCTCATCCATGAACATGATTTCTACCCGAGTCCCGTCGGATTGCATCGGCTGTGGTGATGAAGACCACAACTCCAATGATTCCACACTCAGTCACGGCGTCATCAAACTACGCCTTTGCCTCTTTGTTTATTTTGAATATGCGCCCTCCAGCGGCCAAAATTACATATTGTGCCTTTAATGATGGAACTTCATAAATGAATTGAACACTTAACATCTACAGATTGTCCTTTGCTACTGATATTGCCCGAGGAATGGCTTACCTGCATCAGCACAAAATGTTCCACGGCCGTCTTCATTCACGCAACTGTGTGATTGACGACCGGTGGGTCTGCAAAATATCAGGTACATAATTTTAGATTTTCTAGAGCCGCACTTCTTATATATATATATTACACCATATGAGAAAAATAAGAAATATGAAGTAAGACATACTATTTAATGATACAGATTATGGACTAATGGCCTACAGAAAGGAGGACTTCGAGGACATGAGCACCAATTTCCAATGTCAAAACATCTATCTCATTTACTGCGCACCTGAAGTTCTGCTGAGAATCAGCACTAGTTTCACAGCTGCAGCTGATGTGTACAGGTTGGAAAAATGCTTGAACCTTATGTATTTTTAACCATCTGTTTAAATTGATATTTTTGTTTTAGCAGATAAATTCATATTTGAAATATTCTAAAGTTAATTTAAAAATCTTTAATATTTCTCAATAAATATGCTAAAATGTTAACAAGTTAATAAATTAAAATATTTAAAATTCACATATTCACTTTTCTGTTCAATTAATTAAAATGAAACAAACAAAGAAATACACTACCTCCCAACAGTTTGGATGGACTCTTCTGGATTTAGGTGTATGTACGAGCAGGAATTTCCTCAAAGGATGGAAAGTCTTCTTTAATTGCTCTTCAGAGTTTCAGTTAATTTGTTAAAGTCTGAGTGATTCATTAGTGAATTGATAGATAGATAGATAGATAGATAGATAGATAGATAGATAGATAGATAGATAGATAGATAGATAGATAGATAGATAGATAGATAGATAGATAGATAGATAGATAGATAGATAGATAGATAGATAGATAGATAGATAGATAGATAGATAGATAGATAGATAGATAGATAGATAGATAGATAGATAGATAGATAGATAGATGATATTGATTGATTGATTGATTTATAAATTAATTTAAAAAAAGATCCTTTTGAGTCTATTCTTTTCAATGTATCAGTCAAACTGGTTCCTAAAGTGGTCAGAATGAGTTATTAGTGAATCAGTCCAAATCTTAAAACAAATCATTATCCAAATCACTGTATAGAATGATTAATAATTAAGTTTTTTTTTTTTTTTTGAAAGATGCTCTTGTGATCACCAAGGCACATTTATTTGATCAAAAATAGTAAAAACAGTAATACTGTGGAATATTATTACAATTTAAAATAACATTTCTTTTTGAATATATTTTAAAATGTAATTTATTCCTGTGATGGCAAAATTTTCAGAAGCCATTACTCCTATATTCAGTGTCAGATGATCCTTCAGAAGTCATTAACAGAGTTAAAAATTCTTTAAAATCATTACAAAAACCTTAATTATTCCTAACTGTAATAAATAAATAAATAAAGGAAAATTATACAGTGTGTGTATATATATATATATATATATATAAGAATTACAAATAAATAAAAAAGTTATTCAGCTATTAATAAGACTAGAAATTGTGCAGACATAATGTGACAGGAATGACCCTGTTCTTATCTTCAGATACATGTAAATGTTTTGTATATTTTATAGATGCATCCCAGAGCAGCAATTTGTTCTCAAATAAAACTCAGTCTCAAAGAAGTGTGAAATAAACATTGGTATTTTCTACCTTTTCTCAAGCTACTCTATTATCTTGGTGGAAATTGCCACTCGCAGTGACCTCATTTCAGTAAGTATACAAGGATCAGGAAAGTTTGAGGATTTTTAGACCGTTTTTGCTTAATAGGTGATGATAAGAAATGCAATTATTGTTTCATGAGCAGGAACAGGCAGATTCAGTGAAGCTTGATGTCATGTGGCGCCCATCACTTCCCAAACTGAAGGCTGGGAAACCAGACAGTGATTGCCCAGATCCTGATGATTACTGTGAGGTTTGTATGGATGTAACTGATGCATGCTATTTACTGGAGCACATTTCCTTTTGCAGAACGTTTCATTGAAGATCAATTACTTAAATGAATTGCCGCTGATGCGAATGTTTACTATGCCTGATTAAAAGAAGATAACTGTGGATAAATGAAAAGCACTCAGTGTTTATAGTCAAATTTCACGCAGCTGATAAAGAGATGCTGGAACCACAATGTGACCATGAGGCCGACGTTTGAGCAGGTGAAAAAGATTCTCGATAAAATGAACCCACACAAGGTCAGCCCTGTGGATATGATGATGAACCTGGTATGTATCTCGTCTTTCTTTTACAGTTATTAAATAGTACATTTATATTGAATATTATATTTTAAGGTATTGAATATTATATTTCTTTCTTACTAAAAGAAATTAGTAATAATTATATATATATATATATATATATATATATAAACTTATTGTTTTTTTTCTAGATGGAAAAGTACAGCAAACATTTGGAAACCATTGTAGCTGAGAGAACACAGGATCTTCTTCAGGAGAAGCAGACGACTGACCGTTTACTTTATAGTATGGAAGTGTATATGAAATTACAGTGGGAAAAGTGTCTATGACCTATGAAAGTTAATTATTCATAATCATTATTATTACATAAAAAAACACACTTCAATGAACAAAAACACGAACAGTTGTCCAAATAGTTCCACCTAGTGGACATTTAAAGTAAGGGCATTCTCAAGTTTCCAGCTTTGTTTTCCTTGCCTTTTTGTTTTTTAAATATACATGTATTATTAATATATTTTTAATTAATATATTATTTCTTTTTGTGTCAGGCATGTTACCGAAACCAGTGGCTGATGATCTTCGTCAGGGACGCACAGCAGAAGCCCAAAGTTACTCCAACGCCACTGTATATTTCAGGCAAGCATGAAAATGAAAGATATTTTTGAAACAAATATTTGCTTTTAAAGGCAAGTGGCATGGTTACATTATATAATAAAATATAATAGGTTAATAAGTACAGTAAGTTTTTTTTTGTAATGTATTTTATGCTCACCAAGGCTGTATTTACAGTGAAAACAGTAATCTGAAATATTAGAAACTTAAAATAACTGTTTTTGAACTTTAGAACATTTTTGTAACAATTCTTTGCAATGTCTTTATTGTCACATTTGATCATTTAAATGCATTGTGCGGAATAACAGTATCACATTCTTTAATAAAAAACTGATCCCACACCTTTGAACACTGTAGTGTATCATAAATGATTATATCGTATATTAATGAATTATTCTGTGTTTCCATTGGCCAGTGACATAGTGGGCTTCACCCAGCTCTCTTGCTCCAGCACCCCTCACCAGGTTGTGGATTTCCTCAACAAGCTTTACACCACATTTGATGACATCATCGACAACTACGATGTGTACAAAGTGGAAACTATAGGAGATGCTTGTGAGTGCGGTTACAGAGATCCTGCTTCCTTTGTTCGCCACACTTTTGCATCAAATGACACATAAATCAATGAAAGCCCTCTCCCTCCTCAGATATGGTGGTCTCAGGAGTACCGAAAGAGAACGGGATCAATCACGCTGGGGAAATTGCCAGCATGGCGCTGGACTTGGTCAGCATCTGTCACGCGTTTAAAATCCCACACAAGCCCACCACACAGCTGAAGATAAGGGCTGGCATCCACTCAGGTCAGCATGGCTCCCATCAATCACCTGTCTTTTCTGAACTTAGCGTCAAGCTAGCTAAATACCATTTTTAACAATTATTCTAAACTACATCCTTTGAATTAGATGTATTTTGTGTTTGCTTTTTTTAGGCCCTGTTGTAGCTGGGGTGGTTGGCACCAAAATGCCACGATACTGCTTGTTTGGCGACACTGTAAACACAGCATCCCGTATGGAGTCCACCAGTGAAGGTATTTAGGCAAACGCAGCTGTTTACACAGCGTCAATTAGTAACTCATCCTGTCTGACATTTCCGGGGGAATGGAATCTTGTAAATATTTGCAATGTTTTGTTGGTTAAAATGTGCTAAAATCGAACGATGGATCCAAATATTTCCCTTTCTTGAACTTCTGTGGAGATCAAAAGAAGATAAAGCTAACCAAAAATCTCATGGGTTGTCATGGATCATTATTAAAGCTTGCCATTTCTCTCACATATGCCTTTATATGTCTTACTGTTGTTTTATGATGTATAGCTTTAAAGATCCAGTGCAGTGGTTCTACAGCAGATCTTCTACACACACTTGGTGGATATGTGCTGATGTGTCGTGGGTCTCTCTATGTGAAGGTAGGATGGGCAATTCATTGCTTATACAGCAATTGACCTTGTATGCAAAGAAGCCACCCACAGAGCTTTTATTATGTGTATCATAAATTTAGAGTTTCGGTCACTCACCATGGTTGCCATGGATAACTTCTCAATACTTGCAAACTGCTCAGCGTACCACAAAGCCCCTAAAGAGTGATAATGAAAAAAAAAATGAAATGGTAGGAAAATATATTTTGAATGCTTTTGCATTCTCTTGCAAAATTATTGTGTTCCCTCAAGAAACTTTGTGTTTGCTCGCAAAACTTTTGTGTTGGAAATAATATGAGGTGGAAGGAAAAGCTATATATTTCACTGTAGTTTCTCAGGGGAAACAACCTGGAAATGGCCGAAGGTCCTTTTAAGGCAAGTCATTTTACTCAGCGGCCATCTTTGAAAAGTCTCTCAGGCGGCTAACGCAAATTTTCTGGTTTATGCAAAAGTTTTGTTAGCGAATGCTGAGATTATCAGGGTATTGCAAAGAAAATGCAATGCTTTTTCAGGAAACGCAATACTTTTTTGACAATGCAAAAGTTTTGCGAGCGCATGGAAATTTTAGTATTGCAAGCTAATGCCAAGTTTATCGGGCTAAAGCAAAACTTTTGTGAGCGAATGTTTCTTGTGGAAATGCAACACTTTTTCGACATAACGCAAACATTTCACGAGAGATCGTTAAGTTTATCAGAGGAATGCAATATTTTTGCGAGAGAACGCAAAAAATTTTGCGAGGAAATTCAATGTTTCTTGAGGAAGCGCAACACTTTTTAAATATAACACAGAAGTTTCACAAGAGATTGCTAAATTTCTCTGAGCAATGCGATATGCAAAAGTTTTCCGAGAATGAATGCAAAGTTTATTGTGGCAATGCAAAAATTTAGAAAGAAAATGCAACGTTTCTTGAGGAAACGCAATACTTTTTCAAAATAATACAAATGTTTCACAAGCGATTGCTAAGTTTCTCTGGGCAATGCAAGAGATTTGCGAGAGAACTGGAAAATGAAAAGGTTTGCATGCGAATGCAATGTTTCTTGGTTGAACGCAATACTTTGTTAGTATTGCTCAAAAGCATTCTAAAGCATTGAAATATAAGTGCTTTAATTATGATATATATATATATATATAAGTGCTTCAATGCTTTAGAAACTCTAAAGCTTTGAAATACAATTATATATAAGTATAAAAAGATGATTAATGTGCTGATAAATTTTGGGAAAAAAAGAACATTGTATTAACTCTTTAAAATATGTAATTGTTATTAATGAGTACAATAAGTGCTTCATGATATATTTATTTATTTATTTTAGTATTCATAATGTTATTATTATCATAATATTTTATAGGCTATTATTTATAATAGTTTTTTATCTTTTTATTCATACACTGATCTGGAATATTATAGACCCTTGTACCAAATCAATCTGCTATTGATCTTTTTATTCCTGAGATGATGGTATGGCCCCCTGAGGCTGAACTCCAGACCTTAGCGCAGCTGTGATTTATCTCAATTAGGGCTCGGCCTCAGCTGGCTTTTGTGTTGTCACTTAAGTGATGTCTGTTCATTATGCACAAGTGAATACACACCTCTGCTCTGTCGCTCTCTCTCCCCCCTTTCTTTCTTTTTGTATGATGCTGTCCTTCAGAGTATTGTGTTTAACATGCACTGGAGGAGATTTACTAATTGTGACTATTTGTTAAACAGGGGAAAGGCGAAATGACAACTTGGTGGCTGGAGGCAAAAAGAAGCCCCACAGACCCTTTGTTCCAGGAAGACGAACCTCTGGGTCTTCCTGTTCCTGTTAGCAGTTAAATTATGTGCTGCAGTCATATATAAGCACAGTCACGACAGAAACCTTAACAAATAAATTGACATGTTTAGCAGACATGCTAACTGACTTTATTTAAGCGTATACTTACTGTTGGTGTAGAAGTATGTGCTAAGTATTACATTTGATTGCTGCTATGCTGATATATTGCTGCTGTCATTGTTTTGTGCATTAGACAAAGAAAACAATGTTGTATATGTTGTGTCTGGACGATTTAAAAATGGTCTTTGTCATTTGAAGGGTAAATATGTGCATAATTTGTCATTTAACGTAGATATGCTGGAATAAAATGTGCAAACCGATTTGTCTGATGTAGATGTTCTAAAATAACTATTCGCTAAAATAAATAAACTATATTTTAGCACCATGTTACTAATACTATCACTATATATATCACAATAAACTACATTACTTTATAAGAGTAACTAGCACATTTGAGTTTTTAGCACCTGCATTGACTGCTATGACGCCTACTGGTGGATTTTCTGCGGGGGTGCGCATGAGTTACAGCCAATGACACGCCCTCATTTTTGTTGCATGGCAACGCATTTGCTTGTGAGTGTTTTCGTTCAAGGTTGAGCTGTCCAGAAGGCGCCTGCATCAATGTAGCGAAGTGCCACAGCTTTATTACGCATAATAACTTATCTGGAAAATATGTGTCAAGCCGTGCCGAATGTCGGGAAATGAAGCTGACAAACCTCACGAGTGCGCTTGAATGCCAAAAGATACGCAGTAAGTGAACCGCTGATGGTTTAAAACTTAAAGTCCTAATTTGTTAACCACGACATCTGTATGTAATTCCTAAACATTAAAGATGTAAAAATAGCTTTTGTGGCGCATTATCATCATGTAATTTTGTGTGAATTCGGCGCCCTAATGCAGAAATCCTTCTATTCACCTTAACCTACTTTAGATCTGATCATGGTGTGTTCTAGGTTTGTACTATCCAGTAATATTTAGCTTCTCATGGATTTTTGTATTGTCGTTCGGTGGAATAACCAATATATATGTGTGTGTGTGTGTGTGTGTGCGTGTGCGTGTGCGTGCGTGCGTTAAAGGTTCTTTATTGGCATTGATGGTTCCATGAAGAACCTTGAACATCTATGGAACCTTTCCATTCCACAAAAGGTCTTTATAGTGGAAAAAGATTCTTTAGATTTTTAAAATGTGTTTCACACTAAGAACAATTCTTTTAAGAACTGTTCACTGAAAGGTTCTTTGGGGAACAAAATTGGTTCTTCTATGGCATCACAGGAAAAAAAAAAAACTTCTTGAAACTATTTTTAAGACGGTAGTGATTTTTAACCAAAGAGATATGGCTTTTGCACTGATATATATGATAATTTTGTGTGAGGAACAGCCTTAATATGCTGCTTTTTAACACATTATGTCACCTTAGATGTCACCATCATGACTCACATGCTTTGTGACCAAAATGTTATGAACTCAAACCTGACTTTCGGGCCCATACTGTATTTTACTGAAGAACTTTGGTGGAGGGGACCATTTTACATTCTTAAATTTTAAATCCTAAATTTAGGTCTGTTCTTTACAGAAATCTGTCGCTGGACTTCATAATTCAGACTTTGAATGTTGTGCACAAGTCAAATAGACTACATTTTTAGGGTTTTCATTTAGTTTTTTTTCCTTTTTGGAGCTTGACAAATGTGGTAACAGCAGGTTTGGAATGATTAGGGTGAGTAAATAATAACATTATTTCTTTAAATCAGTTGCATTTGGCATATTATTTAGGTTCTCAGCACATAGGTGAGGAAAGTAACAGAGATTTTAGTTGGTGCTCCAGATAACCAAAGTCTTGTGGGAAAAGGGAAATATTAGGCGACTCATAATACCGTGGAAAGTTATTTTAAGGACAGGTTCACCTCCTAACCTCATTTAGAGCAGTATTCGCATTCTCTCAGAACCGGTACCACATGTACTTAAGACAAATCTTTACGCTTTATGCATTTTATGATTATGCATTATTTTATACAGCTAACTATTTATGTCTATGTTTCTTGCTTCTTTCTAGAACATATAGGCTTTATTGACTAGAATGTCTCCTTCAAGACTATACTTGGCATCTGTCATGCCTCCTCTGCCTTTAAGCTCTTTCAATGTCTCAAGCAACTTCTGCACGGAAGAGAATATCTCTGAGTGCATTCTATACATCAATCAGGTAGGTGCTCTTATATTTGTTTTGCAACTTGTGTTGTGAGTTTGAAGAGGATGAATCTAGTAGAATCTAAACAAGAGCATACCTGAATCTAGCATTGTTAATAGACTTGCCACTCTTTACATTTACAGGAGTTGTCTTCCCTGTGCTTTCCACCAATTTTCCGAAACTCAGACAACATCCGTGATCTGGATGCTGCGGTTGCCCTAAACAACATATATGACTTGCTTCAGCTACACCGTCGAGCTGTTGGAATGATGGAGGAGCTGGAGGTGGAGCAGCTCAAGTCCAGCAGTGACCTCCACTACCAACATCTCACCAACTCCAGGCTAAAGGTTTGACTTTTTTATCACACTTTTTATGGCTTTTTCTTTTTCAGTAAACAAAACAAGAAAAACTATGAATTTTCACTGTTTTGTAGGACCAGCTTGAACTTTCGAAGAAGGAAAACATGCGCTTGCACGAGCGAGAACGTCAGCTGGAAACAAGTTTAAAGACTTTGCAAAACTGCCTAAAAGATGCAAAAGAAGACGTATGAAAAATGAACGAGAAAGCTGTGATGTCATGTACAGTTTTTAAAAAAAATTTTATTTTATCAAATATGCTTTTTTCTTTAATAGGTACAAAGGCTGCAGGGTATCATTACAAGTCGTGCCACACAATACAACCATGACATTAAGAGAAGAGAAAGGGAGCACAACAGAGTAAAGGAGCGCCTCAATCAACTACTCATTGCCAAAAAGGAAAATAAACAAGGTAATGCTTATTACTTAAGCATATTTCTTAATAGTGTAACATACTGAATATACTGTGTTATTGGCATCTTTAAGACTTCTTATACAGTAAACCAGTAATAATGTGAAATATTATTGCAATTTAAAGTAACTGATGTCTTTTTGAATATATTTTAAAATGTAATATATTCCTGTGATGCAAAGCATCATTACTCCAGTCTTCAGAGTCACATGATCCTTCAGAAGTCATTCTAATAATAATACATGTTTTCAGGATTTTTTCAGAGGAATAGCATTTGTTTTGTAACAAAGTAGAAACCTTCTCTGTCTCTTTAGTCAGATTCACACACACACACACACACACACACACACACACACACCCGGAGCACTGGGCAGCCATTCTTTCTGCGGTGCCCGGGGAGCAGTTGGGGGTTGGGGGGAGCAGCCTTACTCAAGGGTCTCACCTCAGTTGCGACTGCCCCCAAAAATTTATTTTAATTTTAATATTAAATTAATTTTGTTGTGATAAAATTACAAATAACACTTTTAGTTACATAAAAACTATGTTGTAAAAATATGTTTATGATGATATACACTGGAAACCAGTGAAGTTCAAATTGTTTTAAAATTGCATTTATTAATTGCTTAAAGAAACAGTTGACGCAAAACTGAACATTTTTTATTATTTAGTGACCTTCATGACATTTTAGATCTTTTGAAAATAAGTTCTACTTTCTGTCAGGAATGGAAGTTTTGAATTATGTTGGAAGGTCAGATGGGAGGAGATGTCTTTGGAAAACTGGAAAAACTGAATCCAGGTAAAAGACAATCATTTGGGTTATTTGTTGCCATTTTAATGGTTATTTTATAGTTCCCCTTCTCTATAATATCATATGAAACTTTAGACATTCTTTTTGTTTTGTTTTGATTTTTTTTCAGACACGAGGGAGAGATGTACAAAACTCTACTCAATGAATTTGATAACCGTCAGAGGGAGCTAATGGTGGAAAACATAGAGCTAAAGAAGGTGCTTCAACAAATGAAACGCGAGATGGTTGGGGTTTTAAATTCAAAGAAGACGTGCCAAAAGGAAGAGAAACAAAGCAATAACATGGATCAGGTTAGACCATGTCCATAACAGCCATTTTACACTAAACATTTTATGATACAGCTCATAACTGTTTGTGTTTGCTAATGGTATTTTGAAAAGAAAAAGAAAAATTTGTCATATTTCAGTTGACTCTGCAGACAAATTCAGATGACGAAGAACCCTTGAAAGGACCTCATGAGATGTCATGTGATCATGCTCGGGAGAAACTCACCAACAGCATTCGTCAGCAGTGGAGGAAACTCAAACACCACGTGGAAAGACTGGACAGCCAAGGTAGAGCATACCGCTCACAGACCTTTAGGGCTTCTTCTTCATTCTTGAGCAGCCTTATCACCTAATGCACAGAATGTTACACATTAGACTTAAACACACAAACCTATTATAAAATAAATATACAGATATTTTTTTGTTGAAGCATCCATGGTGCGAGATGGAGACAGTGAAGAGATGATCTCCAAACAACTCTATGAAGATGAGACAGAGAGGCTCAAGCTGGAAATCCAGCAGTGCAAAGAGTTTATTCAGACTCAACAACAACTTCTGCAAGTAAGTAGAGGTACAATTTCATTCAGTCATTGATGCTTAAAATCACAAGTAGAGCTGCGTTCCTACACTTAAAAAATAAAGGTTCCAAAATGGAGTTTTCACAGCGATGCCATAGAAGAACCATTTTGAGTTCACCAAAGAACCTTTAAGATATTTCCAAGAGAGTATGAACGTTGCTTTATTTTTATAGCAACAGCTCAACACATCCTGTGATGAGGAGACCGCAGCCATTCTGAATGACTCCTACATGCTGGAAGAGAAGGAACGCTTGAAAGAAGAGTGGCGAGTGTTTGAAGAACAGAGGAAAAACTTTGAAATCGAAAGGAGAAATTTTACAGAGGCTGCCGTCAGATTGGGCCACGAGGTTCTGGCTTATTGGTTTCTACGGATTTCTGAATTCAGTTCTTAATTCATCTTGATTTTAATCGCATTTTCCTCTTGTTTCAGAGAAAGTGTTTTGAGGACGATCGTGCAGTGTGGCTCAAACATCAGTTTCTGAACACAACATTTGCAGACCAAATGAAACCACAAAGTCGCAGGACTGATGAATTTTCAAAGCGTAAGTTCATTATTTTTACTAGTTTAATTTCTCTTTAAAATAAAACTTGAGATTTGTTTTCTGATTTTGCAGACTCTGGTCATGAAGAGAAACTCATTTCGATTTCTGGTAAAGTCAGCAAATCTCATCTTTAGTCTATCCACACCCATGGAACTGCTTGCAGATGAACCTACATTTTCTTCCAACACCAGAAGTGAGACGGCTGGAATGAGTTATGAGTTTGAATGTGAATGAAGTCTGCGAGTATCTTTATGAAGAACTGTCAACATATGGACATTAATATTAAACAGAATCATGTGCCAATTGTAAGAGGTAAGATTGTAAGAGACTAAAGGCTGCTGAATCTTACAAGCCTCTGAATTTTTACGTTTTGAAAAATAAGCAATGTTTTAAATACGTCCATAATGACTTTTTGAAAGCATTTTCATTTGGAAATTCAATATAGATATTTATTCATATTGCTTTTTGCTAGTAGAAATGAACTAAAGTGTTTCTAGTTTTCATATGTTGTTGTTGTATTAGTTACAGCTTTTTATGGTTTACTTCTAGGTAGTTAAAACCATAGATATGTATAGGTAGATGCCACATTCGACCGCTCCAGACACGTCGATGCGTCCGCCATCTTGGAACGGTCTATATGTCGTCACTCACACTAAAAATCAATGAGTTTCATGATGCAACAACATTGTGCAGCATCTGGTTGTAAAAACCGCCTAAATTTTAGTTTCTGAAAAAACTTTTACAGGTAAGAATGTGTTGGTTTGTGTTTTTAATATGTACAGGTTTTTAAACTAAAGGACCTTTTAAATGCCTTGTTAGCTAACAGTTTCGTCTTGTTGTATATTGTGTTAGTTTAGAAAAGGCATCTGCTTAAGTCTACTGCAGATAATATATTCATGCATGCGTAGCCTATAACTACAGTTGCAGACAGGGAACTTGCTCTCGAGTATTCACAGACTGGCTTTGACTATTACAATATGGCAGACGGCTTACGTATAGCAGCCCATAAAAATAACCACTAATGGGGCATCTACCTATACATATCTGGTTAAAGCTGCATCACTTTCAACTGTTGTTACACTTTTTTATACATTTTTTTCGTAACTTATTTTTTGTTGTTGAGTATAAAGTATAGTTACTTCAGTCTAAGTTGTAAAGAATAATGCATTTGACAAATCTAGGTCAAATACTTTGTTCATTGTATTTATTGTGCATTTGCCTTTGAAACTACATTTTACTTATTTTATTTTAGATTTTTTGTAGGTAATCGGTGTACCAACATTGTTGTTTAAATCAGCTGCAAAACCACAAAGATTTGATTTATTGTTGCATGTGGATAAAGTGCTATATCACATAACGTAGATATAAAACATACCAAGGAATAAGCCCCATTTAAATAAAATGGTGTAGACATAGTCTTTCAAAACGCTTTATTCAATATTTATTCAAATAAAGTAATTATTGTAAAGGCGTGAAATAATGACAGCTTCATACTTTGAAAATAAGGGTAAAACCACCTACTGTTGGATTCTAAATGCAACGCAAAAAGTTTAAATTCAATACATTTTATTCAATACGTTTTGAGGTATTTAAATGTAACTTGTCAGCTGGCCTTTAAACTTTTAGTTAAACAGTGTTTACATTTTATTTTTTGATGGGATGTCATACCTTTCCTTTGGTTGACGCACACACGCATTAATGCGCATGACGTCAACTTTCTCACACAGCGACTAATGTATTGATAATGGCGCGAAGGAGAATTTCAGATTTTTAGCTGTCCATTCAAATCACAACTCCCAGGAACATGACTTCCAGTGTTAAGGTAAACCTAGGTTATGATTTCTTGCTCTCAAAATACGTAAATGTCAATGATTTATTATAGTAGTTATCTGAAAAGAAAGCTGTCATACATTTTGAAAGTGATTATTCTTGACATATTATTGCTGTTCTGCTTGGAGTTTTGTCATCTTTTAATAAATTATTTCTTAACTTATGAGGTAATTGGGTTATTGAAGTAAAAAAAAAATTCTCTAACAACATATTTCAGCTAAATTTTTGGTTTGAAACAAATGGCATTGCGTTGCTTGAAGATAATTCTGCATGTTTTGCAATGAGATGGGCTTTTACCATATGAGTATTAAGTGGGTCATGAACTGAGAAATCAAAATTACATTGATCTTTTGACATATAAGAGGTCATTGTACTCAGTGGCGCAATTCCCGGGGGGTGGCTGGTTTAGGACAGGGGGGGCATGTCCCCCCCACTTGTTTGAAAATTTCCCCCTTCAACTTAATGCTTTATTTTTGACTCGTCACAAAAGTTCATCATTCATATGCTTGTTTTTTAGTTTTGCCAGTAAGCATTCAAAAGCTTTTAAACCGTTCAGGCGCAAGAAATCACGAAAGAGAACTAATTCGGTACTCGAGCGCTGTTTTCTGTGGGCGCGTGCACCCAAAGCGCGCACACAGCCACTTCCCAGACAGCGCACCATTACAGAATGAGTTAACTTTTCATCTTACTGTGCTTGAAAGGCTCAATACAATTAAAATAAAGTCAAAATGCCTGTTTTGGCGAATGTCCTTGTGTAAGCACAGTCTAAGTTAAAATAAAAAGTTTTAAATGAACGTAAACAGAAAATCTGATGCGTGTGTCAGATCCGTACATTTGATCTGAAAGAGCAGTTTGCTATCTGTTTCATTAATCTTAATTAAAGACCAAAAGAAAAATCACTCTGCTCAAACCTGCTCTTCACTGAATAGCTTGGATTAATTTATAAATACGTGGAAAAAGTCGCGATAAATACTGCTCAGCATTTAGCAAAATTAACAGTCTCACGCAGGCGCAACAGGCAACGTAGGTTTCATTTTGTGTGAAAACATAAGGAGTGCTGAAAGAAATGAAATGAAAGAATGCATGATTAAATGAATTCTCTGAATGCATGAGGGGGAACCAACTGTAGGATGGATGTAGCTGTCAAACATACACTACTAGTCAATCATAGCAGTGGGTCAGACTTCTGAGTCTACAATCCGCCACGCCTATTCAAACAGAGCGTTCCGATGAGAGGGGTCAAAACGTGACAGAAAAAAGCCTATTACTGCTGAAATATTATGTTTTTTGATGTAAAAATCTTGATAACATTATAAGTAGACCTCAGAGAACATTACAGAATAATAAAAAAGGCAGTTCATGACCCCTTTAAATATTTACATTTTATAGTGACCAGGTTAAAAAAGCCAGTCTGCATGTGTTACTAATTTATGTAGTCTTTTTATATTATTTATCGTAACTAAAAGTATGTATTGTGATTGTTTTGTGGTCCTTATTATAATGTATAACCAATTTTAATATAATCTGTTGATTGTTTTAATTATATGAAGGCTATTTGTTAAAATTATTTAACAGTAAAAAATTCTAGACATTACTGTAAAGTGAAAACAATTCACAAGTCGCTAACTTGCAGGGTGTTTATTAGTATTGCTTGCATTAAATCAGTGGTAAAATTCAATTAAACATGAAATTTGAACTATACAATATGAACACCGCTAACATTTTCTTAAATGTAAAATGTAATTCTTCATGTTTTATTCTTCCTTGATATGTTTTTGGATCCAAGAGAGAATGTCCTCATCGATTTGAATGGAAAGGGTTCCGTCTGGATTGATGGGAACAGCGATGGGAAGAGGAATATCCATTCTTGACAGTGTCATCTAGTGCAGCGGGAACAAAAACAATTAGTTGCATTTTCTTATTATATCTTTGTGTGAGTCATAATTTCAAAGAAAACTAGTTTACCTCTGGGATCCTAGCAATGACATTCAGCGACCTCTGAGATGGCAAGGCCGCAGTCAGTTCGATCTCTTTGTCAGCGTTCGATACTCTTTCAAGTTTGAAGCCCGCTTTGAAAGCTGCCATTGGGATGTGTTTAGACAGCCTAATTGTGAAGGGATGTACAGAGAAAATGAGATAACTAAACCAGTGCCATTTTCAACACTACATTTGTTGTTCAGTGTTTATGAACATTACTTTTTGGCGTAGGTGGTGACAATTATTGGCAGCCTCTCCCATTCCACCTCTAGACGTGCAGCAGGGAATTCGCCCAGTACACCAGCCTCAGCTTTAGCAATGACTGCATACTGTTGGCACTCTGGACCCCAAGCAACCCTGGCCTGGAAAACAAATATATGCTCACTTTAAAATGAGAAATAAATCCAGATACTTTTTTTTATTTGCACTTCCAGGCTTACGGTGACTTTGTGCTTGCTCAACACGGCACCGTCAGCACAGATCTTCAGGTTGTCATTTTCAGCAATGGAAGAAACGACAAGCTGCACTCTTGCATTTGGCTTGTCAAAGTAAGCAGCAAGCTGGTAGCCCAGCAGCTTGTGGTCAACTCTCACAGCACGGGCAATGACAGCAAAAACAGGAGGAACAGCATTTCCGAGGAACTTGGCCTAAAAGCATTAAAAAAAAAAGAGACATCTTTTACATTTGTGTTTTGTGTTATTATGAACAAACAAATGACACTAACTGATTCACCTGTTTCTGGATTTTCTCAAAGCTAGATGCAGTGCTTCCACTGCTAACTGCCTTTGAGGCACCATGGGGTGCCATGTACTGCAAGCAAAATAATGTTATAGACATGATTAATAGCTGATGAAAAAAAAACCAATATTGTTGTTAAAACAATTTTTAGTAGTTACCCGATCTTTGTGGAATTTCCTGAACGGCTCCATGACGGTGGCAGTCTGAAAATACATATAAAATGACTCTGTGTACATTAATATACATATTTATATCCAACACACTACATCCCACGTCCTCACCTCAGTCATACGAGAGCTGGACATGGAGGAGCTTGAGCTGCTGCTGATGATACGGCTGCTGCTGCTGCTTTCAGAAGATACACGAACATTTTTATCTTCAGTCTCCAGGATTTCCCTCAGTTTCAACAGGAAGGCCTTTCCTTCTGGAGTCTCCTCATCAATGAGACTGATTTGCTTAAGGAGCCTCTCAGCAGCTCTAGGACCAACTTGGACTTCAAGCTCCAGTCTTTCAACTGCAGGACCTTCAGCTAAAGGCAAAACGACAGACTGTTAATTATCATTTTATCTGAAAATCTTTGAGCTTCATGAATGTAATATTTTCTGTAAGTACCTCTTGCCACAGAGGCACGGGCTGAGTGCTGTCCAATTATGTAGAACAGAGGATCATTTCTGATAAAAGCGGCATTGTGAGAGTGCACCTCAATGCATCCCTTGATTTCAATGTATGGGACAGCAAGACAGAGAGTCTTGTGGAATGGAGCAGCAGCTCTCACAGGAGCCTCAGGTGGCATCTCAGAGGACTGGAAAGAAAAACAAAATATCAAAACTTTCCACTATGGAGCTTGAAGCAAATCTTGTTTCATGTGTATTTATAGCTTACCAAATCACCAGCATAAGATGTCTGGGAGTTTTGCAGGGACAACTCAGGTACTAAGGGAACAATCCTTTCAGCAGTGGGATCTTCAATGTTTCTGACCACAGCAAGTGTCTCAAAGCTGGATATTACCTTTGGGTTTTATTATGAACAAACAAATGACACTAATTGATTCACCTGTTTCTGGAGTTTCTCAAAGCTAGATGCAGTGCTTCCACTGCTAACTGCCTTTGAGGCACCATGGGGTGCCATGTACTGCAAGCAAAATAATGTTATAGACATGATTAATAGCTGATGAAAAAAAAACCAATATTGTTGTTAAAACAATTTTTAGTAGTTACCCGATCTTTGTGGAATTTCCTGAACGGCTCCATGACGGTGGCAGTCTGAAAATACATATAAAATGACTCTGTGTACATTAATATACATATTTATATCCAACACACTACATCCCACGTCCTCACCTCAGTCATACGAGAGCTGGACATGGAGGAGCTTGAGCTGCTGCTGATGATACGGCTGCTGCTGCTGCTTTCAGAAGATACACGAACATTTTTATCTTCAGTCTCCAGGATTTCCCTCAGTTTCAACAGGAAGGCCTTTCCTTCTGGAGCCTCCTCATCAATGAGACTGATTTGCTTAAGGAGCCTCTCAGCAGCTCTAGGACCAACTTGGACTTCAAGCTCCAGTCTTTCAACTGCAGGACCTTCAGCTAAAGGCAAAACGACAGACTGTTAATTATCATTTTATCTGAAAATCTTTGAGCTTCATGAATGTAATATTTTCTGTAAGTACCTCTTGCCACAGAGGCACGGGCTGAGTGCTGTCCAATTATGTAGAACAGAGGATCATTTCTGATAAAAGCGGCATTGTGAGAGTGCACCTCAATGCATCCCTTGATTTCAATGTATGGGACAGCAAGACAGAGAGTCTTGTGAAATGGTGTGGCAGATCTCAGAGCAGCCTGATCTGGTATCTCATATGACTGGAAAGAAAAATTGAGTATTATAACAATTCTTGCCATTTTAAAACTTGGAGCAAATGAATGCTCAGCATACTAATACATATCCATTGTGTGTGTTTGTTCAACTTTTACCGAATAATCAGCAGGTGTCTGGGCATTCTGCACAGCCAATTCGGGTACCAAGGGAACAATCCTCTCAGCAGTGGGCTCTTCAATGTTTCTGACCACAGCAAGTGTCTCAAAGCTTTTGGAACAAGAAACAGGTGGGTCGCATTTCACTTTTTAGAAACTTTTTGAAATTGTTTATGAATCTATTCAAAATGACTGGCATCACTAGGATTTCATTACCTCACATCAGCAATATGTTCAGGAACCTCAACAGGCAGAGCCTCCACCTTGTAGTTGCCCTTGAGAATGTCTGCTCTTGCAGCCACTTTTCCAGGTGCAATTGTACGGATCTTTCCTTTTGCCATAACAGCAGCTTGGATCAAGGCAGTGTTCACTCCCATCACAGCAAAGGTCTGAAGAGCAACGCTGAAATAAGAATAAGGGAGATTTTTTTGTAAAACTGTTGCTGTACACATTATATCTTATCTTCATGAATGTAGCTGCAAAAGTGTACCTTGGTCTAGCTTCAGCTTGGAGTTGAACATCAGTCTTCTTAAGCTGCTCAAGAGTCATGGTCTCAATCTCCTCAGGGAGAGGTGGTGTAATGGTGGCCTGAACTAGAAGGGTCAATAGAACAACATCAACCTAAGAAGTGACCCCCTCACATCTGAGTAAAGGATCTAAAAATTCTAAGAAAAAAAAACATACCATTGACACTTGCAACAGCAACAGCAGCAGTGTACAAACTGAGCTCCATGGGCACACCAATTGCGGTTGGCAAGATTCTGCGCACTTCAGCCATGAGCAGGGGTTTGGCATACTGCAAGGCAATTCCTTCCTGCAATGCTTTAAGTGCCGCCTTCAACAGTTCACGTGGTTTGGGTCCAGTCACAATCTGGGTATAGTGTTTATGAGAAACTTAATTCTAATTGTGAGAATTTTATGTGAGACAGATCTCAAAAAGATATGGTAATGATAGACTGGACATAAACTACAACACAATACCGGTATTGCTTCTTCAATGACTGTCTTGTCAACATTGACAAAAGCCACTTCTTGTCCAAATAATTTGATGTAGGCTGAAGCCAATGGCTGATTGGTTGGCAAGGCCTTCCAGTTTGCAAGCTTGAGGGGTTAAAGAGAAGTCATATATTTTGCCTGTCATGTTTATAATATTTCTTAAAAGTAGAAAATGATAGAGTACACTGGATATGAAAACTTACTGCTCTCAGGGTGCGCTTAATCTTTGTGATATGGTCAACACTTTCATCTGCAGCAGGAGATTGCAGAAGAGCCTCCTGGAGTCCTTCAGTTCTCACACCAATCTGTTTGAGATAATCAAATGTGTGAAGGCTGAAAACATTTAAAACCGTGAAAAAAAA